CTTTCACATATACACAAAATAAACAGTTCAGATTCTATCACACCAATTTATAAACGAACGTTAAACATAAATACACTGATGTGCTATTTATTTACGGGAATGGATTTTCTCCCATAATCATACAAAAAAAAAATATCTCGTTAGATATATAAATGCAACACTTTGATTGTCTTTCAAAAACTCTTATGGCACTGACGTGCTATAAAATGCACTGGTGTGCTACGTGTTAATGGGAAAATGTTTTCCCGAATATATCACAAAAGGAAAATATCTTTTTAGATATATAAATCAAACACACTTGAGTGTTTAAAACTCTTATGCAATTGATGTGCTGCTTCTGCTTTGGGAATTGATTTCCCGAATAAGTAATAAATAACTACATTATACACTTCAGGCCGGGAAATGAATATTGTGGAGAACATACCTGGTCTCTTGTCACACAGATCTCGGTGGAACCTCCAATTTTTTTATTCCTTTTGTCTGTGACGTCGTGGATGCTTCAGTGGGAACGGAAACAACACTGGTAGTGGTGATTCATCACTTTTTATTCACACAACATAACACAGATACAACATTTAATTAATACATTTAGAAAACTATAGTAGATATCCGAGCTGGTGACACGATCAGAGACGTTAACGAAGATGGCACTCATCATCATTCGACGAACAAAGTCTCCACACCTCAGCTCGCTGGCGGAGCTTCCCAGCACTCTCTCTCACAGGCGTCTCAACAGAAGTCTCTTCTCTTTACGCATGCGTATTACTCAGTTAAGTCGTTGCCATTCACAGTTCTTTAAAAAGGTATTAAAAATGAATTATAGTCCTCGTAGTGTGAGAAGTCTCTCTATTCGAGAGCATCATAGGTCTTTCTAGTAGAGACTTCAGGAGCATTCTTTACAGTCCCAGTTACATAGTACCAATGACCATTTTTAATCAGAATTGCTTCCACTTGCAACTTCCACGTGTCAAAGTTGTCCTTGTTTAGCTTTTCAATTGACACTGTATTAGTTGTCGTCATTTTCATTTCAGTCGACGCAGCTTGACTTGCCGAAAGAATTTAACAATGGTGGTTGAACTGCACAGTTAAGCGCTGTCTGGGCCCATAACCTTTGAAGAATAAAATGACGTCTTCCATATACATGACAAACATTTATTTAAGCTATGAAGACGTTGAACAGCAGAGTAGAAACATGATATTAGACAGCACTTAGCACTTCTCGCTTACATGCGATACTCACCACTAACTTTGGCTAACTGCTTAGAAAAGTATTGCACAGCAGAGAACTTGCTTATCATGCGCATGCGCTAGGGGAATCAACGGCGGTTGCCAACAAGTAGATTGCGGTGTTTAGAAGAAAACTGCAGTAATGGTTAAGAAAATTAATGAGGATGGCAGTCAAGATCGTTTCTCTGACTTGCATAAATACGCGTCCTCTAACGAGCTCACTGTCTCTCAAAAATTGCTGTCTCTTTTCGTTGAACACCTTTCGAAGCTCACTGAATGGTTTGCAAAATACTTTGCGGAAGAAAATATGGAAAAATATTCGTGGATCCAAAATTCTTTTCATGCTCAAGCTCCACCAGACTTCACAAGAAGAAGAAAGTCTCATTGAACTTTCTTGTGACAACAGCCTTAGAACAAAATTCGTTGGTTTCGATTTGGTGGAGTTTTTGATAATCTGAAAAATAAATATTCAACTCTAAGTTCAAAAGCTTTAAGGATTCTCATTCCTTTTGCAACATCATATTTATGCAAAACAGGATTTTTAGCTGTACCTGTAATAATAAATAATATACCGAGTGTCCCAAAAATGACTGATGGATTTTTGTAAATCAATAAAAAAAAAAAAAGACAATACGATAGATATGTATCGTTTGCAGCCTTATGCTTATAGAATTTCAGGGAATTTTATCCCACCAAATTTCCAATTTAGTTAACATTTTCACCCACAGGTGGCGCTGCAGGCGATCTGTAACAGGTATAGTTAAAACGAAGTATTTCAGCTCAACATTTCATAGTTCGTCGTCAAGCTGATAGCTTTTGTTGTTGAGATTGCAAGTCCGCTCTACCAAAATGGTTTTTCCCATTGAACAGTGGGTATTTATTGTGTTAGAGTTCCACCGCCTGGAACACAGTTTTGTTCAAATGAGGCACAGTTTCCAATGAAAATTTCATGTGAGAACAGGACCGTCAGACAATGCGATTCCAATTCCAAAAATTCATGCGAACGGGGAAGTGTAAATGATGACTGTATTGGAAATGTCGGCCGGTCACGCCTTGCAGCTTACAGAATCAAATGCTGAAGCCGTACAGCAGGTTATCGAACAGCTGCCCCGGACTTCTGTACGCCATGTTACATATTGTACTGGACTTCCGAAGAATGAGGACTCACCATCTCATACATGACAGCCTTCACATGTTCCCACACAAAATACAGACTCACCAACCCCTCGGTCCAAATGCCATTAATGCACGCTATAATTTTCAAACGTCATGCTGCAACTTATGGATGACAGTGAACTCGATGTTGGCAATATATGGTTCTCAGATGAAGCATATTTTCACCTCAATGGCTATGTCAACAAGCAGAACTTGCGAATTTGGGGAAGCAAAAATCCTCATATTGCTGAACCTTCATCCCTGCATTCATCAAAAATAATGGTACGGGCTGCGCTTTCCTCCAAAGGAATAATAGGGCCATTTTTTTTAGAGCAACCGATAAATACTGTACGATATCTTGGGATTCTGGAAGAATTTGTGGCAGTTCGTACTGCTTTGGCGGACCGTTCGAATGCCTTCTGGTTCATGCAAGATGGCGCTCGTTCACATCGGATGTCTGCAATACTTGATTTCTTGAACGAACATTTCAGTGAGCAGGTAATTGCCTTGGGTTACGACATGCATACAGGAAATGGCATGGCACGGCCTCCTTATTTGCGAGACTTGACGCCCTGTGCCGTTTTTCTTTGAGGGTACCTGAAAGATGTGCTATACCGCCAAACTCCACAAACAATTGCAGTGCTGAAGCAGCACATCTGTACTGCATGTGAGACAATTTGAAGTGACATATTTGAACGGATAGTGTTTGGTGTATTTAATTATGGCAAAGCACACTAGAGCTATCTGCCTCAGGGAAGGGATGCCTTCATGGAGGACTTTCTAAGAGAAACTGGCTCGTTTGAACGGATGTCTGGAAATTTTTGTCATAGACTGCGCCACATTGTTGCAGCAAACGGGGGTTACATTGAAAATGTCTTTTAGTTTTTTGCAACAATCCTTGCAAAATTTTCATACCAGTTTTTATTTTTCATGGTTTTAAGCGCCACCTGTGGGTGAAAATGTTAACTAAATTTGAAATTTGGTGGGATGAAATTCCCTGATTTCCTAAGCATAAGGCTGCAAACAATACATATCTATCACATTCCATCTTTTTTTTTATTGATTTACAAAATCCATCAGTCATTTTTGGGACACCCAGTAGACAAAACATCAGGCTCAGTGGCGCAGTGGCTAGCGCATTGCGCAGCAGCATCACAGGTCTGGGGTTCAATTCCCGGGCTGGGAAAGGTCGAATCAGCTTTTCATCCCTTGACTTCCATCACTTGGGTCGACAGAACGAGTAACAAGTTCGCTTGGGGACTAAACACTGGGGGTCCTGTGACAAGCTGACCACTTGTTCAAGGCATACGCTTACACACCCAGGGCCCACGGTCAAGAAAGCAGATTTTCAGGCATTGCAGGCCTTGGCCCACTTTGTTATGCCACTGAGTTTAGTTTCTTTAATTTAGACAAAAAATCGTTTAAAGATCAATGTGGAGTAAGAAATGAAAGTGGCAGTGGCAAGTCTTATCTCTCGCTTTGAAAAACTTTGTAGAGATCAGCAAGTTCATCCATTCCATTGAATTTCCCCATTTTCTTTAATAATATGATATTCTTGTGTATCAGTTCAATATATACCTATATGAGCCTCAGATTGTGGTTGTTTTCATTTCTGTGCCTGGTCACTAGTACCAATATGCAGTCGTATTTAATGCAGTGTTGTGATTTGCTACGATACATGTAGTAAGCAGGTTGTAAAACACAAACATTGTACAACACTTCACTGAACACGACTAGGGCGCAGGGACAAAATACTAAAGATTTAAGCGCACTGAAAAAGTTTGGGTACTGCTGCAGTATGCAATGGACCTGCAGTAAATGTATTATGCACTTTCATAACAAATTCAACAGGAACACATGGTCATCTGGAGGATGGTCTTCACATTGGTATTCAGTTTCTTCAAATATTTTAACAAATCATGAAGAGGTTTTATGGGGTCTCGTTTTAGTTTATTCTTTCACTGATAAACTCTCACTGATTCAGCAGAATTTCCCCCATTCATATAGAACAGCTTTATCAATTCATACTGTTGTTTCCTAATAAGTGTCATCTTGTTAGAACACCTTATTGTTGTCATCATTGGAACACATTATTGAAAAAACACATTGGAACACATTATTGAAAAAACAATCTTCCTACATTACTTATTCTACAAGCAATGCTTTGTACATGGCATTCTGTGATTGGTGCTTCTACTGTCTATACCTGTGAATTATACGAAGTGTGTAAATGCACCATCAGTGGTTATCATTGGTCCTTTACAATGCTCTTTTTTGAAAATATTTTATTCTGGCAATTTTTATCTTAAATGTGTCATTCCAACACCATTTACAAATTGCGCAGGAAAAAGTGGGTACTGCCATTTGGAAATTTTGAAATTGTTTCACTATAAGTCATCACAATCTTGAGGGCATACTTTAAAATATCAATATTTGAAAATTCCCTTTCGATTCATTGAGTGGATAGGCAGCTAGAAGCTTATATATTGTGTAAGATTTTTAAAACCGCCCTGTTAATTGTATAAGATTTAAACACAGAAGAGAATTTTAAATAAAATAAATCTAGATTCAGAAGAAACATTGTAATAACCGTCTCCTAAGTATTTGGTTTTCTAAACAATTAATAAAATGTTTAGCTAAATGTCTGCATATCTACTTTCTAAACTGAATGTTTTTTCTTTGTTGGAACTGTTGCTATATTCATCAAAGCTTCACAAAGCAGTAGCTAATGCACATTTTATAAAATATTATACCTTCATTTCAAAATTTACACTCCTGCATTTTAAAATTTTTGGTAAATGAATATTAAACATTAAAAAAAAAAGCCCTTTTGCTTATATGAGAAAAAATTTGTAGCAGTTATTTTAATGAACAAAGTCTTATCTTAGATTCTAACTAGGTTCTCATTTGCAGCAGATCATGCTTGCCTTACTATGAACTCTGCTAAATAAGAAGTGACTTCTCCTGAACTAGTATAGAATTATAATAATAATTATTGGTATTATTCTAATATTCTGTTGACAGGCATTATAATTCCATCATACATCTTCCATCATGTATAGTGTCATTGCACGTCAAGTGGAATTTTTTTTTGTGATTTTTCTGCAAAATGGAAAATAATGGATGCACAGAAATAATAATTTACTCTTACTTCACTTTTTGGCAAATTTAATAAATGCATGATGCACACTAGAGTAAAAATTAATGCAAGATGAACAAGTGTTGTCCAAGAACTTTCTGGAGGAAAAGGATGACTCTGCCCTCCAAAAAATGACACAATCCACATATGCATTTGCTCTAATAAGTCTGAAGTCGATGTTGAAATAAAAAAGAGAATCTATATCACCTTCCATTGTAAGAAGGAAAAAAGAAAGAATTAATGAACAAACAAAAAGAATAATAGAAAAAATCCTCTTTTTGAAGAATTCAGGAAAACTTCTATTGTTGCTGCACAGCTTGAAGGAAAATAGAATCAAGGATGGTACTATTGATGGTGTATGGGTGAGTGCTCTGTAATATCCAAGTACCAAATTATTAACCTGCATTTACAAAGAAATATTATCTGCTTTTTTTCAGTCACAAAAGGTCAGGTAAAAATGTTTTTTTAATTACAAAATCAGCAGTTTTCCTATCATTCTCATACATAATTACGACTTAAACTTCAACATAATTTAGAATGGGGACCTTAATATTAAAAATTTAGCTAAACATATGTACTTTGACAAGGTATATCCTTTAAAATATTTAAGATAAAGCCACAGCTGAGAGAAAATTTTGTTTGTTAACCTAATGAAGTATTATTTTGATTTGCATTTTTAGATTTCTTATTTGTAGCTTCATAATTCACAACCATGGGTTAATAAAAAAATGTACTACATGAATAACCTTATTTCTATTCATTTATTGAACAAATTAAGAGATATATTTAATAACAAATTACTTAAATTACATTATGGTTTAATTAACAATTTTACTGTCATATATAACTGGCTAACAGACAATGGCCTCAAATGAAAAAAGCTCTCAGATTTCTCTTAGAACTTTCTGCTTTCCAAGAAAACACTGGCTGTTCCTACTACAGTACAAAGTCTGTAATTCGGATGTCCATTATCCGGAATGATCTATAATCTGGACCTCAAAGCCACAAACTTTTTTTGTATGCTTTACGCATGCGCGTTTAATGTTTACGCATGCACATTTAGCACAAAAAATGAAGCAACTTAAACAACTTACATTGAAAGAAATGTTTAATATAGTAAACAAATAAATATTAAATTTTGATACCCTTTAGATCATAATTGCTCTTTATTTCATAAATTATGGTTTCATATTTTTAATTGTATAATTTCTGCATGCCATCTTACCAGATTTAAATTGATGATCTATAATCCGGAAAAAACCATAATCCGGAATCACCGAAGATCCGACGAGTCCGGATTACGAACTTTGTACTGTATTTTAAAACATAGAACATTGTTTAAGAAAACAAATATATCTATAAAAGCTCTCACTCTACACATAATGAAACAGAACAGAATAATTAAATTACATTATAAGCTATTATTTTATATCAGAATGAATCTGAATCAAAGAAAATTTTAAAAGTGTAATACCTGAATTATAAAAATTTTTGGCTTTCCCCAGAGACTGCATAATTTTGAATGGAAAGGTTTCAATAAAGACTTCACCTTTATTTCTTCATCATATGCTTTAATCGTCCCTATATCACCATGAGAAAGTATGCAGCATACAAAATATTTCTTCCGTGAATGATCTATTTTTGAAACTATATGTGGAAAAGCAATAATACAAAAATTAAAGAGTGATCCCATTATCAAAACTTGCTGCAGATTATTTACACTATACACCGTAAATTAAATAATCAGAAATGCAAATAATCCTCTGAAAGGCTAGGGTTTTTTTTCTTCCCCTCCCCCATCCATTCATGAAAAGCTGCATTTTAAGAGCTTTCATGAGATGAGTATAATAATTTATTTCAACCTTCTTTCTTACATGGCTACTTATACTTTAAGATGATAACTAAATACTTAAAAAAATAAAAAAATGATCTGAACATCAAGATAGTGTGTATAAAACGGTATGAAAATGTATAATTGAATTTTTAAAAAAATGTCACTCAGAGGATTCAGTAGTAGAAACAAACAATATGATTTACAAAATCCTATACAATAAGCAGAATTGCATTAATAAATAATTAGGCATGCTTATTTCTGACAATACGTGGCTATACAGGTAAGTGGATTAATTAAGCTATTATTAATTATTACTTAAGCTTATTATTAATTATTACTTAATTCATATTGTTACGGGATTTCATAGTTATTTATTTATTTAGTTTTTTTTTTATTTAGAATTGTAATTAGATTTGCTTCATATTGCCTTAGCAACGCAGACGATTTTTGAAAAGACAGCTGCGTTGGAAGGTTAAAAATAGAACAGCGCGTGCATTTAATATCTATTAAATAAATATCTTGTAATTGCGGTTGCCATCCACAAAAATCCAGATATTTATAGATGTTTCCAGTATATTCGAGAAATTAATTATAAAGCTTATAAAAGCCGAGAACAAACAATTCATCTCAGTAGTAGCTGTAGTTCTAGCGAACTGTTTGTTTACTTAATGCTGTGATTGATTTGTAGAGATTTCGCTGTGAGATAGAATTAGTTTCTCTGTTTTGAATTGATTTTTGCTAAACGTTTGACATTTTGTGATATTGCTAGATATTATTAGAATACTTTTGAAGAAATATTTCAGCATTTTGATTTATCTCTTGTGGAAAGAATAGATTTTTGTTAACTTTTTAACGTTAACTGTGTTTCTTCCAGCCCTTTGTATTCAGTAATTTTATAAGATCTCGAGGTTTAAATCAGCGTCAATTCACTGCTTTCTTAAGTGAGTTAGATAGTGAATATCTGGGTTTTTCCTACTATACCGAGGTATGTTGGTTATCTTGCTTGCTCAAAAGATTCTCAAACAATTCTGGGATTTGAAAGAAGAAATATGTCAGTTTTTAAAAACGAAAAATCAAGACGTAAGTTTGTTTTACGATCCAATATGGATACAAGATTTATCTTTCTTGGTGGATATAAACAAACACTTAACCGATTTAAATTCATCATTACAAGGAAAAGATCATATCATTATGAACATGTTTGACATAATTAAAGCATTCAAATGTCAACTAGTTCCTTGGGAAAAACAACTTAAAAATGAAGATTTGACGCACTTCCCGACATGCAGCATGAAGAAATCAGGTTTAGATGATACTTGTTCGTATCAAAAATACGCAGAAAAAATTGTAAATTTAGCAACTGAATTTGAAACGAGGTTTAATGATTTTAGTTCCCTCGAAGACAATTTTTTTTGTTTTCTTCGATTTTCTCAATAAGTATTGACTCAGTACCCAGCCATATGCAAATGGAGGTGATCGAGATTCAATGCAACTCAAATTTGAAAGCAAAATTCATTGAAGTGGGCATGCCTGAATTTTACAAATATTTACCAGCCAGGTTTGAAAATACTCGAAAATTCGCATATGAAATTATTTCCATGTTTGGTAGCACTTATCGGTGTGAGCAGTTATTTTTCAGTCATGAAAAGGTAATAAGTCTCCTATTAGAAACCGTATTAATGATGCTCACCTTGGGTCAGCGTTGAAAGTTATCACTGCAAACAAAATTTCTCCCGAAATAGGAAAGATAATAGCAGAGAAGAGATGTCAAGTATCAGGACGTAAACATTAAATTTTTCTTGTTCTTTTCTATATAAATATATATATATGTTTATTATTGTATTATTCGAAATAAATCTACGTTTCTATGAATATTGATTTTTTTTTTTTTTTTTTGCAGCCTGCCTAAAGTTAAACCTTGTTTGTTTGGCCCAAGTGTACCTATGAGTTTGACATCCCTGCTTTAGATCATAATTGTTCTTTATTTCATAAATTACGGTTTCATATTTTTAATTTTATAATTTCTGCATGCCATCTTACCAGATTTAAACTGATGATCTATAATCCGGAAAAATCAATTACATCCGGAATCGCCGAAGTCCTGACGAGTCCGGTTTAGCGACTTTTGACTGTATTAAGCACTGCTTCATTTTAAAACATTAAATCCTAAATATAAAATAATTGAAGCACAATTATCAGAAATATTTTATATGTTATATGTTCCTTAATTATTTTATGTTCTTAAATTAGAAACATGTTTAATCTCAATCAAAAAAATATCAGAAAACTCTCAGTTCTATTTAAATGAAGTAAATGTGCATAATAAGACCAAATTATTCTAGAATGCAATGCAACAAACAGTCTTTACCAAATTAAATTAATTGAAAGAAATAATAAACCATAAGTTTATGTAGAATTTAAATGCAAAAATAAAAACTGTATGAAACTTTGGTCATAGTCACAAAAATATTGATGCAATTAAGCAACCTGTAAACAAAGAACGTGCCAAAGGAGTCACGCTAGATAATTGTAAACATGATAACATACAGTGGTGGCCAAATTTGTGGACACTTTTGGAAATTTTTATGTTTTTGAACTTTGCATGCTTATAGAGAACGTTACGTTTCACAAAATGCAAACTTGTATATATCATTTTAAAGAGAATTTATTACTGCAATACAAAACACAAAAATTCAATTATTTGCAATACAAAAAAAGTTAAACGATAATAGTTATCGATATACATTAAATAGTGATGATTACAGTGAATAAATCAGTACTTAGTAGGGTACCCTTTATTTTTGATTACAGCTTCACATCGACGTTTCATTGAGCTGACAAGAGTTTCAAGCTCTTCTTTCGTTATTACATGATGCCAGGAAACAATTATAGCCTCAATTAGTTCCCTTTTATTTGATGACCGCCTCATTCGGACAAGAGTTGTCAAACGGTGCCATAAATCATCGATAGGATTGAGGTCAGGACTGTTTCCTGGCCATGACAACAATTCAATGCTCTTTGTACGAAACCACTCTTTCGATATTTTGGCCGTGTGGCAAGGAGCAGAATCCTGCTGAAAAATAAATGAAGCATTGTTGGGAAAGAGATCTCTGACGGAAGGTAGAAGTTTTGGTTCTAGAATAGTGGCAATGTATTTTCTGGCATTCAGTGTACCATCGATGACATGAAGGTGACCAATATCATCTGCTAACATGCATGACCAAACCATAACACTAACTGGGTTAACCTGTGACCACTGTCTGTCCAATTAATGTGTTCCTTTTCCCACTGTACTCTTTTTTTTTTTTTTTTTTTTTTTTTTTTTTTTTTTGTTGCTGAAAATTAAGATAAGGCTTTTTTCGTGCAATTTTACCTCTCAGTCCAACATCTGTTAATGTTCTGATTTTTCTTGAACTGACAGAGACACCAGCATCATTCAGATCACTTCTGATGGCCGCTGATGACATTTTTCTATCTTAGAGACATAGTCTTTTTATTCTTCTGTCATCGATAGATGTGATGCACCTCTTTCGGCCTTTTCCTTCTTTGTTTTTATTGAATTTGAATTTGTCTCCTGATATCGTAAACAAAACTTTTGGACTCCAGATGTAGTCACTGAACCACCCACTTGTCTTGCAATTTCAGCATAGGAAAGACCACTTTCTCATAACACAATAATATTACATCTCTTTCTAGGTGTCCAATCTACTCTTTCATTTGATGTCATTGCTTCTTGACTAAATATTAAAAATGTTTACAAAAATTCCTACTTGTAATTGCAGTGTATAAGAAACAGGTCCTCCTTCTACAGAACAAAGCAAAATAATGAATTGTTTCAAGTGTAAACATGATGTCAGGTTTTACTGGCAGTTACTAACATTTGATTGGTTCTCAGAACAAGAAGAGTGATTGGCCAGGAAAGCTAGACATTACAAACCACTTCACAACTGTGTTTTTTATTTATATTAAAGTACATATAACTTTTTTTGTATTGCAAATAATTGAATTTTGTGTTTTGTATTGAATTCAGTAATAAATTCTCTTTAAAATGATATAGACAAGTTTGCATTTTGCGAAACGTAACATTTTCTATAAGCATACAAAGTTCAAAAACATAAAAATTTCCAAAAGTGTCCACAATTTTGGCCACCACTGTATGCATTCAATGCTTAAGATGTAAATAACAGATTTTTCATAGTCTAAATAATTTAAATTTACAACATCTAAACTGGTTAAACTTGTTCACACTGATGTTTTAAGACCAATGCAAATAACTTTCATCAGCAGTTACCTATATTTTGTAACTTTTGTTGATGATTCCACAAGATTTACACTGACTTACCCAATGAAAAGAAAGAAAAAAAAAGCAATTTAAAATTGAAATAACTGATTGTTCTTACAAACAATAAATTCAGAAGAAAAGTAAAAACACTAAGAAATGACAAGAGGGACGAATACACTAGAAACAAACTTGAATATTTTACAAAACATGATAAAAGTCACCAATTAACTACTTTTGTGTTTGCTAACTTCATTTTGTGCTGGACAATGTACTACACTGCACATTGTCCAGCACAAAATGAAGTTAGCAAACATAAAAATAGATCTCTAGCAAAAATAATAAGCACTTTTTTATCCGATTTAAGTTAACATCACAAATACTGGGTAGAAGCAGTGCTAAGTGCATATGATATATATCACTGCACACATTACTCAGTCCAAAATCTGGGCATCCAATATCCGGAATGATCTAAATTCCAGACCTCTGGATCACTGGCAATCTTTTTCTTCTGTTTTTTGTAATTTTTTTTAT